GACTGAAATGTGATGAGATACTGTCTTTCTGGGGAAAGACATTCAATAGCTCGGCTGCTCGACGTCCAAGACATTCAGTGATCACTTTTGGAACCACTTTGTAGGGTAATCGTGCAAGAGCTACTCTTACTCTTTCTTTCAACGTCCTATTGTTTCGCTCAGCGGTAGGCTCGTGGTCTCCAGCTGCAGTCGGGTCAATAGTAACACCCATATTGTCTAGTACATCATCCATGAGAGGAATGAAATCCAATCACACTTGATCATCTTGACTTGAAAGCCTACCTTGTTATAGGGGCGGAATATTACATCCAATGCTTCAAATACAGGGTCAGTCTTCAGGTTCTGCACGGGAATACATGAGCAATATCGCACAGTGGTATCGATGCAGGTGAGAAACTTAGCATTCTCGATCTCCATGTGATCAATACAGACGGTAGTAGATCGATTGTGCTGATATAATTCCTCTGGTGGACTGAAGAAGTTGTCGTACGTCTTCTTCGGAGTTGGTCTTGTTGACTTGCCTTTCAATGTAGAGGCGTCAGGTCCGAAGATTGCTTTGGCATGGTTGATCGCTTCTTTGGTGATAAGACAGTTCTTGATGAGACCAGATCGGATTGCATATTTCAGACTTTTGATGCTTGGAGCATTGAGTATATGCATGGCACTTCTCGCTTCCATCGCAGCCTTGACTTGTCTTGGAGTGAATCCTTCCTTGTTCTTTTGAACAGTTGCCATCTTGGAGGTCATCTCGAGTCCAGCATATCCATTCTGTTTGTTTGAAGAAAGTTCGAAATGGGGTTGATTATTTAAGTTGCTTAATTGGCGACGGTACATCGCACTTGTCTCTTTGGCACCTGGTTTGACATTTGCTCCAAGTTGCTACAACACATACACACCCTTACAATTAACAAATCGCATCTTTCTGTTTCCATCACAATGCAAAATAAAAGCATTGTCAGCATCAGTATCCATAGTAATGCGGTATCCCGCAGCAATCATCTCGCGCATAGCAAGTACATTGGCAATTTCACCTTCATTTCACTCAAAGTATACCTAGACACAGGAGAACTATTGTCGTGAAAGTGTTGTACAGTCGATTACAAATTTAGATTGCAGAGAGTTTGTTCTGAGCGCTAAAGGCACTCACTATAGAGCACATTTTGCTTGATTCTAACATTCAATCACAAAAGTAAGTTCAACGATTTTCCCTTGGAAAATCCTTTGTTTACAGAACTTGATTCGACCTCTACGACGATTCTGTGTTGGATACAGTACTTTGGGACATATTGTATTGTTCCCTACTGCATTGTTCACAACATTGATATCTCACTTGTATAGGGTCATTCCCTTTTTGTGTGGATGTAGTTTGTCTGACAGACTCCCCATCCGGCATACTTGCGTCAAATCCCGACATCACGATCAAAGTCCGATCGTACGTGTCAAAAACTTTGTACTTGAATAGTTCCTTTTTGGAACGTAAAAACTCATATTTTGTCATATCCCAACATGGAGCGAGCAAATTTTGGTCGGCTTGGCTGTCTTTGCAAGTTCCGCCACGCGCTTGTGGTACTCGTCTTTGTCCATCTTGTTTTCCTCTGGGTCGGTACAAGATTTCTTAAAAGGTTTCGAATTGTCCCTGTGATGGGCACCAGCCATGCGTTTCTTCTTTTTGGATTCTATCTTCTGGTGGAGTTGATTCTTCAATTCCTTGTCGTGTGCTTGTCGAGCCTTGTGATGCATGTAGGAAGTGATGCTGGCAACGGAATGGCTGTCGATGGTACCGTTGATCTCCAGGAAGGCGTCCTTCCAAGGCTTTGGCTGAGCATTGAAGAAAACTCTCTTGAATTCTTCTTTGTCAAGAGGGTCAAGAGCTTCAGACATGTAAGGGATTGCAGAGTTTACCTTCTTCATGTACATCTGATTGTCCATGATTGTCGCTGATCTTGGCTTTCTACAGGTACGGAGCTGATTTCAAACTGCAGCCGCGTCTTCTTCAGTACATTTGGTCAGGATCCAGTTGCGGACTTTGTTTTTCCAGTTCTCAACGGATTCCTCGTCCATGTCCATGTAGTTTGGGAGCGCTTCCCAAACTTGTCGTTTGAGAGGAGGGAGATCCTTTGACCAAAACTTGTTGAGGGCTCTACTGAGGAGCTTGTCATCATTCCGACCAACTTCGAGAGTCACATCATTGAGGAGAGTCTGTGCAAAGTCCACACACTTGTGTAGGGACATCTGGGTGATGTCCAACTTCTTGAGGTAGACGGAAAAAGTTGAATGGTCGACATCCACCTTGACTCTGATGTTTTCTCCTTCGATGGGTTCGTATTGCATAGCGAAGACGTGATAGTCGGACATGATGTTGTGCTTGAAATTGAATCGGACTTTTTGATCAAAAATACCGTGTCCCACAAAAGGCTGAGGACTAACTTAGGCACAGTAGCGATAGAAAGATTGCTAAAGAGATATTATGAGATTAATGGAGAACTACTTCCCTTGGCAGAACAAAATAGCCATACTGACATGAGAAGAGAAGGTGTGTACTGGATACACACAACTTCCACTGCAGTCTTGATAAGAATGTATTTGTCAGGCTGTCGCCACCTCATTGCCACATCACTGTTGGCTCGTAGCATAGGTAATAGATGTACTCGACATTTGGCAAGATTGCTTTTGACAAGACTATTGTGGACATGCTGAGGAAGGGGGCGTTTGTAGAAGTACTCATATCAGAGTAATCGATGTTCATTCGACTGATATGATTCGACTAGTTGGACTAGTGGACTAATGTGAGCCACGACAAATCCCATCAAAAATGTTTCTCCGGATTGGGATTTTAGGATCTGCCATATGTTTGCACCTGAAGCCTAGACGCTCCGTCCAAATGTACCACGATCCTGCACGTAAAATTCTACACGGTCAGAAGTGATCAAAACGTTTCTCTGATGAGCCCAGGACAGAACCAAAAACAAAATTGAGAAAAGTAATTGCAAGCAGACAACAATGCAACCGAATCCAGTACAATTGGCACAATGAAGCAAGCTCATCAAAGAGCAAATTCTTACAGTACTATGATGCCATTTGATGATCAATAGAAACAGGAGAAATTGCATTTTCCTATCCTTTTCACTGCAGGAACACCCGTCAAATGAGGAAATCCCGTACTGCGCGGGGTTGACTGTGGGAATTCTGATGTCTTTCAATGGGCGATCCGTGCCTTAAATATATTTCAATTTTTAAACAATATCATTTTCACAGAACAACTTTATTTTCGATCTTTTCTGGGACATCCCAAAAAAATCTGTAGATTTCATTTTTATTCGACCAAGAAAGCACCCCCTGATAATGATAACTGAAACATTAATCGATTAAATGCTATCTAGCGCATACGATTGCCGGTGGAGTAAGCGGCTGTAAAGGTCAAGTACCGTGAAGCGACAAGTCAACAACTAGTTTGAACCATTGGAGACATCTGGTGGACAGAAGTTGCTCTAGTCAGGATTGAGGGAATCCCAACTCTACCCGCGACAAGGCGGGGTGATTTCGGGGCGTTGATTCCTCGAAATGGGTTCAGGGGGCCTGGGCTGGGTGGAAGAAGCGGCGAAGGGTACGGCGTTGGGGCGCCAGAGCGCGGCGATAGGCCGTGCGTTCCATTCTGACCAGCTTCAGCCACTCTTCCCTATCGACCAACGGCTTGTTCAACACAGTTCGGCGTTTCACAGCGAGCATGCGTTG